TTTTATTCATGGCATAAGTGTATAGATCTTTTTTTTTTTGGCTGTAATAGAGATTCTAATGAAAATTGAGAGGCCTCCCATGAAACAGCCCCATATGCAGATTGTGTTTTTTGGTTATATCAGTTTGCTTATTTTCTTGTTTTGCTTTGTTTTTAATTATTGATTAACATGACTTTGTTTGTTAATTCATAGCAAAGTCCAATGAGAGCTAGAGCTTTTGGAATGGAAGTGAAGGCTGATGGACCTGGGCCGGATGTGACAGACTGCCCAACTTCTCCGCCGAAGGATGCAATGCGACGTTTTACCAGCCAAGGAAGTCAGTTGCAGTGTCCCAACTGTAGAAAACTTTTCCCTCATGATCTGCTTGAAAATCACATGAGAGACTGTACAGGAGATGATTAGCAATGAGTTTAGCTTACACAAGGAAGATGAGTGTACGATCTGAAATGTCTTTGACAGGAATGGAATGATAGCAAGATTAAAGAATGTGCTATGAGCATGTGGCTGACCTACTGGATGTCTGAAACCACACACTGACTGTTGTGGATTTGGCGAGATACTTGTTTTCATTTTGCTTGTGTGATGTAATTCAAATACGAAAACGGTGCAGCCACACAAGGAAAGGGTGAAGAGAGAGACTGGTGTCCTGTGGTACCCGATGCTTACTGAGGGGATACAAAACAATGCCAAGTGTAAGGGAACAATGCTATGAAAGTCAAGTTATGAAAGGGTTTGCTGTTTGATGCTAGCATTATTGCTATTGCTAGCAAATAGCTCCCCTTGTTTTCAAGCCAGATTGAAGAGAGGAAGACACTTTTGGCTTGAAGGAGTTCTGTGAGGTGCAGTTCTTTGTTCAATGATAGGAACTGTGGAAGCAATTTTTGCATCTGATTCACAATGCATGGAGTTATGATATCTGCACAAATGCTTTTGATCAGTAGAAGATGCAAAATGTTTGGAGAAGAAATGTTCAAAGGTTTGTAAAGACTACATTTAGTTTTACTCAAAAACATCATAGGGGAGTTATGAATGAATCTCTGTTTTTAATCAATAGAGAGGATGAAATTTACTCCTTCAACTGTTAAGTAAGATGATGTCAACTGTTAAGACTGCCAAAAATAAGAGCGAGCAAGAAAAGCACTAAAACATAATTAGTTAGAAGTTTTCAATTAAAAGAAAAGAGTCGGAGACCTGCTCCTTTCAAATATATATATTTCTGCAAAATACCGCTAGAGAAACTAGTTTCTCTACGTTCGCTTCAACGTTGTACATTCACTATAAAGAACAATACATTTGTTAATGACACTAAAACTACCAAATCTAAGCAATTTTTTTGAGAACAATGATCAAGAGAAAGCAAGATAAATAAACATATTTAATCTTGTTCCGGGAAAGGAACTAGTGATTTGGTAGAAGCTAGGAGAAGATACACTTAAGGCGGTGAAAGCTGTTGGGATTTTCCATGTAAATCATTGAGACCTAGACCTTGTTCAATTTATTCAACTTTGTCCTTTGACATTGGAACATTTGACGTTCCCTCTCTAAGAGAGGCATAGTTTGCTTGTTATTTGAATAGTTTGCTGTAGCAGAACTAGCTTTACATTTTTGCAAATGAATTTTTGTGTGTAGATATTAAATTATGATGGTACATGTTTTTGTAAATGCTCTGCTAAAGTTTTTCTCTATCAATAAAAAATATCGTCTAAGGTAAATTTTATTTGAAACAGTGTTTTGTACTTTCTCGTGACACCAAATGACGAACTCGGATGAGATTATAATGTTGCGAGAGGAAACAAGAAATATGTTTAGCAAAGTGATCTGACGCCTTTTTCACGAGATAAAAACACAATTTACAATCAAATGAACATAAGGCTGTTACAAGGGAATTCTCAGCGAATGAGAACCCGCCATATGTGGTTTTGGATGAGAAGTATACAGCTATTTTGATTTTTCAAAATTCCAAACTCCTGTGGCACATAAATAATTTGACAATTCCTCTCTATGTTGCCTCTCGTCTGTTCAGTAATACGTCACAGATGACGTCAAAATGCGGTAAGAACAAGTAAGTGGCACAAGAGGCGCAGCTGAGTGTGTTACTGATTTTCTTACCACATTTTGACGTCCTCTGTGATCTATTGCCGTACAGACCAACCGCAACGTGGAATTTATTTGTTTTTTATGACAAAAAAACAAAAAGTTTTAAGTGATGACGTCATATACGCGTCTGTCCTCTAGTAAATCATTGACAAGAACCAATCAAAATGCGTGTAGGATTCAGCTTATCATAGAAATCTAGATCAAAGATTTTAATTGGTCTATTTCTCGTAGTATGGTCACAGTGAATGTAGATGGACGTTTTGACCGTGCACAAATACACCCCACCAGCTGCTCTTATTGAAGCAATAGACCGCAATTTTTATTGGTTAACCAGCATCATACCCCACTTGGGATGAGAGAACACGAGAAAAGTTTGTGAATCACGGGCCGGAGGCAAGTGATTTTCAAACATTTCTCGTGTTCTCCCAACATTGCGCCGGTAAACGGATAGAAATTGCGGCATATTGCTTTCGTGCAATGAACTTAAAATAAACCCTGAATTGGATCGTTCCCAAGTGTTAGGGTCTTGGCCCTTCATCAGCTAAAGTTAAAAACACAAATTTGTGGATTCCAAAGCAGGATTTGCATGATTGCAAGTTATAAATCAATAGAGAATTGGTCCATGCTTAACGTGCGGATATCGAGTTATGGATGAACGCGGGAGGTTTGGAGAGCACGAGGCTGAGGAGCCTCGCACAACTCTAGCTTCTTGAGTGCTCTCCAAACTTCCCAAGTGCATTCATAACTCGATACACACCCACACAGAGCATGCAGACACTAACTGTGTCAGGTCTGCCAGGTAATCGTTTTCTACTCGAAAACTATGAATAAATGACAAGGCAAAAACGACCAAGAAATATTTCGTGAACAAATTTTCATTATAAGTAATGTAACTTTTCTGCTCAGAAGCGAAAAACGGACGAATTTCTTGCATATGCGAGACCATGTAGTAGATTCAGCATGCTTGAATCGTTGTTTACTAGAATTAACGGCTAGAAAATTGCGTAGGTTTGAGTTGAAAATTTTTAAACTTCTGAAATTGGATGGTTTTAAAATTAAAATCTTCTATTGAACTATATACTTTTAGGAAAAATCAGCAATTTAACTAATATAAAACGCTTGAAAAACAAACCGAAAAACTTACAACAACTGGTCAAGTTGACTATCACAAGATATAATTTCTGCTTTTAAATTTTTTTCTTGACAAAAGTACTTCCCCAGTTGGGCTCCTTTTTGAACTACAATTTCTTTGTCAGCATTTGTCACTTCCTGCTTAGTCTTGCTATCAATCTTCCAACCTATAGAACCTTTTTCTCATAGGGCACTATTCCACATCTCCGGCGGGGAAAAATGAAAAGCTTCTGCAGCGAAAAAGTAACGGAAGATCGATCCAGATTTTAGGAAAATTTGAGACGTCTTGGCAGTGGGTCACATCCAAGATCTGAGAGATATTGATGACTTAGCTGTATACGAAACCCAGCAAAGTAAGTTTATTGTGCGAAAAGACATGTGAATAGCAGCTGTAATAATGAGATGAAAGGCCATGAGAGGATGTCAATACACAGTGGGCCGTGGGCTGGATTCGGATAGTCCGGAAATGCCACAACTAAATGGACTCTCGCACAAGCACTAGTTCTAATCGTGAGTTCAAAAGTTAACTCAGAGTGATTGCTAATACTTAAAAAGACCAACCCGAACTTGTCTCGATCTTGAGAAAGTAAGGCGAAATGAATGCCGTGCCGTGCTTTGAATGGAGGGGGAGTACAAGGGGGGTGGGGGGATATGGAAATGGATATTTGGTTCTCAAAATGGTCCGTTTTTGTTGTCATTAAATACCGACCTTAAGCAAACTACGACGACAACGGTAACGAGGACGTGGCTAAACAAAAAAAGCTATTGAACAGAACAGATAGCGCAAACGCGAAAAAGATTTGTAAGTCACTCACCTCCAGCTCGAGATGTCCAGTAATTTCTAAATTTAGCCGGCTTTGCTATCGACGTGACAGATATCACAATTACATCACATCTCTTTACCGAACTCTCAAGATGTTCCGCTAAGACAATTGAGACGTAAAATGAATATGCTGTTATCGATTTTCAGTATTCTGGTCTATGTAAATACTCGCCGAACCTGGTTGGCCTTGAAAATGGTTTTGCATACAGGATTTCAGACTCAAGACTTATATTCGGGAGTATTGTGAAGCATGAAAGCAATTGAAAGTCACTCGTGGGAAGTTTCTCTTGATTTACATGTTTCAAGTCTAGCTCCCATTCATCCTTGTTATACGGTATTAAAATAAACGGATTTATGCCCTCTCGTTGGCCATGCAACTGTTCTGAGTTAAACTTCGCCAAAATTATTTTTATAGTCAAGCAATTTACAATTTATCCCCCCTGTAGCTGAATGAAAATTTATTGCCACAAAAGTGTTCTGATTGCTTGAAAAACACCCTGGGGGAAATTTTAAATTTTATTCACTTGGTGTTCATGTTCCAGTGGAGGTTGTCCCTTGCCGAGCCTGAAACGTCTGCTGGTAAGAGGTCTTATAGGCGGCGTTAGACCGCTGGTAACCGTTACTCATGGAAACCCCCGTTTTATCATGGAAAAAAAAATTGAGAGACTGCGTACAAGGTGGTCTCAACTATTTTACTTGTTCCTCTTTCGTTGGTGGAAAACCTTCGAAACTCCAACTTCCTTGCGATATTTCAGATCTATGTGTTAAGTAATCCAGAATTTCCTGTTTTGAAGGAAATTCAAAGATTTGAATGGAGCGAATTCCAGTCAAAAACGATAAGTAAGCGCATGTTTGGAAAAATTTCCTCTTTCGAATCATCTTACGAGACCCACCCTAGATCCCAGTTCTCGCAAGAAAACAAACGTTCTCATGCTATTTGGCGCATGCTCAATTTTCACTTCCACATTTCAATTATGGCCGCCAGATGATCGCTAATGTTTAAGTGTTGTGGAGTCGTTCCTTTACTTTGGAAAACTTTAGATAAGGTTGTCGTGGGAGAGAAAAGTGATGGTGGATTGAGAGACATTCTTAATCTATCTGCGGACATGTATTATTCCGTGCAAGTCGGTGATACCGTTTTTACTGTGTTGAAACGGTACCGCAATCTTCAGATTATTGGTTCTGGAGCGCAAGGAATGGTGTGGTAAGTTGTCTAAACATTCCTAATCTGACCCTTATTCTTCCATGAGACGTATCCAGGTTCCAAGAGGCATTTCCTAGATTTTTTCAGTTTTTATTGTACTAAAAATACTTTAGGTCGACAGATGAATTCGTGGTCGCAGGTTTTAACAAGCTTACATGAACAACCCGGCAGATAATTGGATATGTTATTTATTGTGGACACTGTCTTAATAATTTATTCTTGAATGTAAAATATTTCTTCGATCGTGACGATTTCCAATTTCTTTGTAGAAGATTTGGTCCCAAAGTTTCATTTGTGTTATCGAAACCGGTGCTCGAAAGTAGATGTGAAATCGTTGCACTTTCGGGGATTTACCCGGCTCTTACGAAACCTTGACCTACTCGGGTAGATTCCCCCTTATTGTCTATACCGGAAATCCTAAACAATCTCGTTGATTTCGCCAAATCATCGTTTTCATTTGAAGCCTTGAGTTGTGGTTAAGGGCAGAATGGTTATGATTTTGAGCGAAGAAGGAATTTACGTGAAGGACTGTAACGAAGTTTTTAGAATTGCACTCGTTTTATATGAAAAATCTTAGAATACTCTGGTTCTGGTTGTCGTATTGTTTTGGAATTTATCAGGTCATATTAACCAATCTAGTTACTTAACGCTGTTTTTGAAACGCTTAACCTTTTCTTATAAATTTATGGCTTTGTTGTCTTTTGCAAATATTGCAATGCACTCGAAAATATGATGAACGGCTCTGGTGTGTTTCGCGGAGTTTGGATTTTAATGTGAGATCCTAAGTTATCCCTTAAACTTCCATGAGTGACCAAGATAGAATTTCTTTTCACAATATTGTAGAGAATAATACTTGAGAATGCATAGATATGGAATTTCTCTCAGAGTGTGGTGAACAAGTGAGATGTTGAGTTGAATGTGAGAAGGGAAATTCCACATTTACCAGCAACCATGTATTATCTGGTTTATTATATAAACACAGCAGCCCTTTACTGAGAAGAAAAGTCAACTTTCTTAACGAAGGAAAAAATTAAGATCCATAATCCCCACAAAAAATTCAGAAAGTGCATTGGCAATAGGGTTCAAGATAAAAAAAATTGCATTTAATCTTTTTAAAAACAATCAATGGGCACAATTTTCAATTTACAAAAATTCTCAGTTGTTGAGTTTTTCCTTACCCACAGAAGAAATATTTTCAGGTACACCCCCAAACTCGGCCTGTGGCAAAACTTCCAGTTGTTGATTTTACACTCTCAGCCATGAGAAATGCCTATACCGAAGCCACTGAATGCAGAACTCTCATTTTTTCTTTTCGTATTTAGATTTTATTCCCCTTCTAAGAAAGTACATCACTGTTAATAAGCATACAAACTTTTCAGTGTTTTAGAAGCCATAATTGGAGAAAATTTAGACAAATGACCTTGGACTGAGAATGGTGAAGATTTTGCCATTCATTCATCCACGTGATATAGTGGCGCAAAAGCAAGTGACGCGTTTGCAGGTGGAGAAATATTTTTTTTCTGTTATGTCATGAGTGTGGGACAAAGAAAAAATTGCGAGTCCCAATGAGGAATCGAATCTCAGACCTTCGGATTCTGCACTCTAATGCTCTACCACTGAGCCATAGGCAGTGGCAGTGAGCGAGGTCTATTACAAAGTTCATATGACATGTGTCCTGAATACTGTTAGGATCAGCAATGTTGATAGCGTAATGTTTGTAGACAGAAAATAAGAGAGATGGTAAGTTTTGAGCGAATTTTCAGGTGATTGGCAATATAAAACACATTTGAAAAATAATTGAATTTTTTCACTTTGTTGTTACAGTTTTTCTAAGGGCCGGAAATCCTTGCATAGCACCATTATGAATTTACATGATAAAATACAGTATCAAGCAGACAAGTGATGGGAATAAAGAAAAAGATCAATCAGGGGATTATTGTTTGATCCAATAGCAAAGTCTCCAAACTAAAATTAAAGAACTGTATGGCAGACAGTAAAGAGAATTACTGATGAGGTCTTTGGAAATATTTTTTACAAGGGTAACCTTCTTATAAATTTGTGGCTTTGTTTTCTTTTCCAAATAATGCAATACACATTAAAAAGTGATGAAAACATTCTAGTGGTGTGTTAATATCCTGTGGAGATTCTTAGTTAACCTTAAAACTCACAGAAGTGATTAACATGTAACTTTCCCATATAGTATCCACACATTATCCTGCAAAAGGGTAATGAGAAAACTTAAACTCATCAGATAGAAAGTTGTTATCTTGATCCCACACCAAATCCTCCTTACTAATATACAAGGAAATGTTTAGCAGCTTGAAAGGAGAATTAACCCTTTAACTCCCATGAGTGACTAAGACAGAATTTCTCCTTACAATATCACTACAATATCAACCAGATAACTGATGAGAATTCAGAAAAATATAAATTTGGGGATAATTAGTTGATTCAATACTAAATTCTCTGAACTAACATGATAAGACTTGTATGGTTGACAGAAAGGAGAAATACAAATTTGATGTGGAAGTTAAAGGGTTAACAATCAGATCGTATGAGTTAAAGGATTAAGTGAAACATTTTAAGCAGCTGGTATTCATCATGGAAATCAAGCAAGAAAATTTTTCTTCACTCTAGTAACATAGTAAAAAAATTTCAAGAAAAACCTTTCATATGGTTAACATAGGAACAGTACAAACTATATCAAGAAAGTGGCCATTGTATAGAGGTTTTCATTTTGACAGAGCTGGAAATAATGGCTAGTCAAATATAGGTTTTGTCTGGTGAACTCCTCAGATGTCCAATGAATTTGCCTGGTTTTTTATGAGTATGAAGAAAAAATTTAACTCTAAGCTAAGTTCAGGTTTTACATATTTCAAAGATTCAACATTATTCATGTTCTTGAATCATGTACATCAAATTTATCATTATACAAACTTGAGACTGTCTTGCAGAAGAAATGAAATGATTTGTAACATAACATAGTCATGTCTACTTTAATTTAATTCTCTGTGAAACCTGTGTGTTTGGGCTGAAATCTATAGCATTTTATATGACTTGCACACAAACAGCTTGGCCTCTTTATCTCCCTGATGTATTTAAGGGTTTTAAAGAAACCTGTGCCAACTCTTTCGGGGTGCTTAGCTCAACACATCTCATAGCAACATCTTCCTGACATGCTTCGCGTGTTTTTACTCAATATGTTTCAGCTCAGCGTTAGACTCTACCACAGGAGAGAAGGTTGCTATCAAAAAACTGAGCCGACCATTTCAAAATGTCACACATGCCAAGAGAGCTTTTCGAGAACTGGTGCTGTTGAAGATGGTCAACCACAAGAATGTAAGTTTGATTAAGAACTTACATTTGAACTTAAGTCCAGTGCCACACAAAGTTTAGTACATTGGCACCTTATTCAATGGTTCAACATGTAATATTTTGCAAGTTGCATCATACTTCTCTGAGCTCCATATGGCCATGGAAAGTACAAGCAGTGAGTAAAATGTGCAGCTGTATTAGATGTCAAATCAGCGATGAAAGGAGTCATTATTCCACAATTAATAATTTAATAATCATAAATTTTTCCATAGGAATAAAGAAAAATATTTATTAAGGGATTATTAGTTGATCCAACACCAAATTCTCCAGAATAAAATCACAAGAACTGACTGGCAGACAGTAAGGAGAATTACTAGTGAGATCTTGGGAGTTAAAGGGTTAATATATTGGCTTCTAATTTTTGAAATAAATTGTATCACATTTCCTTTGATCTTACAACATAATATGATTTAATAAATCAGTCACCATGCTAACAAGGAAGGAAGGGTTGTTGCCTTTACTGTGACAGGCTCATTTCACTGCTTCAATTCACTGATCAGTTGGTGTGTTTTTGTGGGCAGATAATTGGTCTCCTGAATGTTTTCACCCCAGACAGATCATATGAAGAGTTTCAGGACCTGTGAGTAAACATGTGCTTTTCAAATATTACAAGCACTGTACGACATTGGTCTACTTGAAATTATAATTGTCATTAATAAACATCGTGCATACTGGCAAGAAATAGGTTGCTACTGACATTACATACAATTCTTACATAGCCCCACGCAAAAACGCTAACTTAATTGGGTGGAAACACAACATTAGGATAGAAGTACAATAGAAAGATAAACAACTGATGTAAAATTATTTCACAGTTGTTGACAATAAATAGAAATGCAAATTCTAGTTGCTCTTTATTCAATACTCATAAAAAAGACCTATGTACAGTGCTTCACTTAAAAAGAATTAAATTTGTACCTTAACATCTGTTGGAAAGAAAAGAAAAAATCATAATGTCTCAATATCTCTTGAACTCTAATCCACGAAAATGTTTCTCTACTAATTATTATTACTATTACTATTAGCAATCACTACCAATATTTAACATCTTTTCACTAATTCCTCTTTAAAATCTGCCACGGTTTCAACATGAACCAACAACGATAAAAACATTAAATAGTAGTAATATAGTTGCTACTATAACAGTGATATTTCATAATAGTAATCATGATAATAAAGTTATTGTAACTTGAAGGAAAGAAGATTTTTCATCGAAATTCAGCTCTGGAAGAAATGATAATTAATTTTTAATTGAAATAGAGAATACCTGGCTACTTTTTGCGGAAAAATTGTCTCCTCTAATTTGGTCACCAGATATTTAGTGACAGAATTGATGGATGCCAGTCTTGTCCAAGTCATTCAAATGGATTTGGATCATGAAAGGCTTTCATATCTTATGTACCAGATGCTGTGTGGCGTAAAGGTGAGATTCACATACTACACTACACTACTATCCAGCAATTATTTTTGAAAAATGTTATTGACAAATATCAGCAAAAAGTTGCCATCTATTTCACAGGAACTTGCTAAGCACTAATTTGTCCTTCAAATTACCCCAAATTTTACAAAAACAAAAGAGAAACACTTGCATTTTCATTTGTTCATGGAAATCAAAAGACTCTGATATGAATCCTGAATTCTGTGTTTTCCTGTTGTTTGATCCCTTACGCATCTGATCAAAACACATTTGCCAAGCAACCTTGCATTTACTCAAAACCATGAGGTCTTAAAGCGAAAGCAGCACAATATGTGTGCAAATGTCTATGAGCTTTCAACATCATATGATGTAATGGCCCTTGCAAATCCCTTCACAGCTTACTCCTGGAGTTTTGCCACCTACTAAAGTGGCCATTGAAACAATACCTTCCTCTCCTGTTCAGAATGTCACACAAATCATAAAAGAACAAAACAGTACAGCTAGAGATCTTAGGAGATGTAAAGATGTCAGTATCACACTCACCTGTAGCTTGTGTGATACTTTCTTGTTCTCAGTGTATTATTTTGTGAAATATTTGTCATATTACTGATTAGAAACCTGGCAATATGAAATATTTTTTACGAGTATTTATCATGCCCCAGTTCCTTGGCACTTTGTTGTGGTGGGTGGTTCTGTATCTGATACATGCTTGAGTCACTCTTTTTTAAACTCTTTTAGCTTACTCATACATACAAGTCAGAGTCTTAAGTTGTCGATACCTAGGTGCTGCCATTGCAATGAACCCTTTTGCACCCTATGATCAGTATCCATATTCTTTATACTCTTTTCAATACATTTTCCTTGGTACAGAAAAGGAGAATTTGTTCAGCAACAAAGGTTTTTAGCTTGCTGATCATTTCTCTTGTTCTCGTGTGTTAATGAATTATTCAGCAGTGTTACTGTAAGGAGAAATTAAATACTGGTCACTCCTAGAGTTTCAAGTGTAATGAGGAGTGACTGAGAAAATCACTAACTGATATATTCACTTAGAATTTGCATACTACACCAAAGTTTGTTTAAATGTTTGTGTGGTAAAACCCAAGTAAAAATGTTTTGTGGAGTACAAAGTACATTAAAGTCTCAAGAGTGATCACACAGTGCCTTTTATTTCTTTTCTTTTAGCACCTACATGATGCAGGCATCATTCACAGGGTATGTTCTTTGATAGCATGTTGCTGTTAATAAAAAAAAAGAAAAAAATAGAAAAAATAGAAAAAGAAAAGAAGCAAAACCTAGTGACTTAATCAAATGTTCAATGCCCACTAAAAAATCACATGACTTTATCAATAATGATACTTAATTAACAGCAAGGAAATTATCTGTCGTAAATAATAACTGAACTTGAATTATAATAAGAAAATGCCTTTTTAAAATCAACATTGAAGTGAGACTTCTCACATTTGCAGGACCTCAAGCCAAGTAACATTGTAGTCAAGTCAGATTGTTCACTGAAGGTACAGTTGATGACTAGCAAAAGTATGTTTATAACCTCTGGGTGGAAATGGTTTTAGTGAACTAATCTATTGTACAAAGGTGATAAGTTTTTAAAGAAACTGTGGTACTACATCCATGGGAGAGTATAACAGGGTAATTTGGTATTATCAACTGAGTTGATAAGTTATAATGTAGTGCGAATTGGCTACTGTATAGAGTCTTTAAAGCTGACATTTCCCAGCATTATCCCTTTGTCAGAGCCATTTGCTATGATGAAGGGCTAACAATTGAAGTGTCAGCTTTGAAACTCTTAACGGTGGCCAGATTATGTCATCATTTCAGTTAAAAATACCAAATTACCCTAATTTATTGTACATGTACATAAGTTTGTAATATTATGGAAAAATTTCCAATGTTAAATGTCTTAAATATTAATCAGATACTTGACTTTGGACTGGCACGTACTGCTGGTGCAGCATTCATGATGACACCATATGTAGTGACACGGTACTACAGGGCTCCAGAAGTTATCTTAGGCATGGGTTATAGTGAGAATGTGGATGTGTGGTCTGTTGGCTGTATACTGGGTGAGATGATCCGTGGAAGTGTTATGTTTCCTGGAACTGATCGTATCTTTTTCATGATAACTATATTTTGTGTAACTAGGTTAGTATTTTATCTTTTCAACACTTCAAAGAATCATTGAATACATTGAGCACTACTGTGTAAATGTAAAATTTTTTAAGTGGAAGATGATGCAGTGGTCCGTTAAGATATTTTTTTAATTTGGCTCAAAGCCAAGATATTTTTTTTTGTACACAAACTTAAGCTAAAGTAGGGTGAAATATTTTCCCTAGAAGAGAGTTTAGTTAATAATTGTGAACTTTTGAACATTACACATTAAATTTCTACCCTCAATGGCACAATACCATTTGGGGTTGTGTTTACTTGAAGTGTACAATGAACTGAGTTTTCAGTTTTGGATTTAACTTTGATATTTTTGTAGTTCTTAAGGTAGGGTGTTCTCAGGCAAATTACTTTCCAATCACTCCCACTGTCCCTTTTCACCCAGGAGTAAAAATGGGTACTAGGAAATTGTCAGGGAGGTTACCTTGCAAGGGACAAACATCCCACCCAGGGGGATGAAGCAACACTCCTAGTCACTTTGTGCTATGGAAACTTGGATAAGCTGTTGCTGGGTGCACCTCTTGGCTTGAGCATAGACTTAACCTTCCTATCTACCTCAGGTAGATTAATACTGAATTTCCCCCCCATCTCCTCATATCCTGCTTCAAGTCCAAGAGATCTGAGATACATTTAGATTGCAATGTTTTCTGTCCTCCCAGCACTTTTTAGATTCCATACCATTGGTTTAAGTAGTTGACAACTTACAGTATACATGTGCTATGTAAATTAGCATCATAAATTGTGTTAGACTCCTTTACCAGCTGGTTTAGACATTGATCAGTGGAACAAGGTCACTGAGCTTCTTGGCACACCATCAGAGTCCTTCCTCAGCCAGCTACAACCATCAGTAAGAAATCTGAGTAAACAATGACTTGTTTTGTATATAGAATTACAAAGATGGTCAGTTTTAAGCTCAGTAAAGATATAAACAAAGATGTTTTTATTTCTTATTTTCTATTTCTTACCAAGCTTAAAACTTACTATCTTTCTAATGCTATATACAAAACATTACGCTATCGACATTGCTGATTCTAGCAGTATACAGGATGTGTGTTATGTATGAACTTTGTAAGGACCTTGCTCACCATAAAGTCTCTGTGGCTCAGTGGTAGAGCTTCTGAGCATGGAATCTGAAGGACTGAGGTTCGATTCCTCATGGGAACTCAGAATTTTTCTTTGTCCCACACTTGTGCCAAGACAAAAAAAATCTTTTTCCCAATAAAATGTTTATAAGTTCAATAGTTTATCATTACATAGAATGTTCAGATTCAGTATATCTTGTTTCCATTACTAGTTCCAAGTGTCTCTTGCACTTTTTTTCTGAACACATTTCAAAGAAACACAACAGCCTGCAACATTAGTGCTGAATAGTGGTCACCAAATTGGTGACTTCTAATCAGTTTCCCAAACCTTTATCCTTTTGCCTTGGCAAAAACTCATTCAAATGATTGGTTCGGCTGTTACACCATGTATTTTTGATCAGAGTAAATGATCACTAGGAAATTTGATTTGGGCAACATGGCCTATCTACAGTGTATGTGTATGAGCTTGGTCATCATTCATAGTTTCTCATAGCCACAACCTTTTTGATACAAAACCTGGTGAGGGAGGAAAACCAGGACACCTCAAGAAGAATCATATTAGAACTGGATAACATAGCTTATACATTTAATTAGGTTTTAGTAGAAACTGGCTTAGACTGATGCATTGGGCTCTGACTCCACCTTGTTTTTTGCTAGGTGAGAATGTACTGTTCAAGTCGTCCTAAGCAGCCAGGATTCAGTTTTGATGATCTTTTCCCAGATGATTTGTTTCCACCTGGGAACAAGACTAAAGGTGAATTCTAAACAATATTCCGTTGAACATGATATTTTCTTTCTTCTAATTGGCCACAGTTTTTATTTTGGTTTTACAGTACCATTACCTTTGTCAAGAAGCGTTCAATCAATAGTATTGGCTATACCATATAATGTTACTACTTATTTTTCTTTTTTTGTCAGAATTTTATTCAGTTGCTTTTAGTTTGTTGCATAGTAGCATATATAAATGAATATATGGGCGTTATAAGTATTAAAGTTATTATTATTATTATTTGTTATTATTATTATTATTTACTGATGATATAGTATTTTTTTTTTTGGAGAATATTTTTAGATTTTTAAATATATAAGATGGATGCTTTTTTTATCTTCAAATAAGATTTTCCAGGATTTTTCCCTAGAGCTAGCTTGAACTTGGGAAGTAGTTAGGGATAGGATTAGGAAGGAACCGATTATAATTGATTGAATGTAATCATTAGAATGAAATAATAATTTTTTTTAAAATGACTATTACTATTATTATTATTATTTATTGAAAAGTGCTCTAACAGGAAAGCCTAACAGAAAAGGCTGTGTTTCGCATTTGGATTGTTGAAAAACTTGATAGAAAAACCAATTGGATTCCTCTCGTTTTCTACTCACTAATTTTGTTTTTTTGGCCTGTTGATATTTCAGCCAATGAATGTCGCGATCTTTTTTCCCTAGAGCTAGCTTGAACTTGGGAAGTAGTTAGGGATAGGATTAGGAAGGAACCGATTATAATTGATTGAATGTAATCATTAGAATGAAATAATAATTTTTTTTAAAATGACTATTACTATTATTATTATTATTTATTGAAAAGTGCTCTAACAGGAAAGCCTAACAGAAAAGGCTGTGTTTCGCATTTGGATTGTTGAAAAACTTGATAGAAAAACCAATTGGATTCCTCTCGTTTTCTACTCATTGATTTTGTTTTTTTGGCCTGTTGATATTTCAGCCAATGAATGTCGCGATCTTTTGTCAAAGATGCTTGTAGTTGACAGGTCAAAGCGGATATCAGTCATTGAAGCCTTGCACCATCCTTATATTCATGTTTGGTACGAGAGAAGTGAAGTGGAATCGGTTAGTACTAAACAGCAGTGTAGATATCGTGTTTTATGAGGAAGCAGTTTTAGGGATGACCATCATGTTAGAATGAAGGACATTATCAATAAAATATATTAATCGATTGGGGGATATTGTCTTGATGTGACACTAAATTTTCAAGACTAGTCAACAAAGACATGTTTGGAAGTTAATTGAAGGAATGAAATGTCAACTAATGATATTAAATGGGTGAGGTGATGTGGCTAATCCGGGATAACAGACGAGGGGCTTTGACAGCGGGGTATGTGGTACTTTCCACCCACGTAGCACCACAGTTTCCTGAGAAACTTACCCTACTGTCATCCTATTTTCCAACAGACAATACCCAATAAATATGATCATTCGGTGGATGAGAAGGAACTAACGGTTGAAGACTGGAAACGTGAGTTAAATACGTAGTCATGGTATGGTAACCTTTGACCCCACAGGCACTATTCTGACTGTCGCTTGAAACTTCGAGAATTGTTGAGATGATTTAATTTAACTCTTTTGATAAAATTCGCCTGTCGAAATCTGTTAGGTTATCTGCCAACTTGTTTGGCTGTCTTTTGGTTTAATGTACTCGGGTCCACGCCAATCAGTGTGTTTGTCATACGGTCTGTCAGTCTGTTGGTCCGTCTGTATATCAGTTGGCTGTCTTGTCTCTCAGTAAATCAGTAAATGTTTTTTTTCTCAGTTTTTTAATAGTACACCATGTAAAACATGTGATATATTTAAGATATTGAACTTGCAACGTTTTTTCAGCTGGTTTTTTGACACAATATAGTGTTTATCTTCATGTTTGTTTGAAAATAATCCGATATCTACAGCTTCATTGTAGTCAAACCTCTCTTGCACAATCTTCATTATTACATTTGCCAGACAACGCGTTCCTATTGTATGGAGAATTAAGCTTTTAATCTGTTTGATTGCAGGAACAATTTACCAGGAAGTAATTTCTTACAATAACACGAACGACACTCCACCAGTTGTGGAGGGAAATGGGGAGATCAACGCTTCATCATCCAGTTCTAGCATTTCATCAGGTAACGTTATCTTCTTTGAGCGCGATAGTAAACAGGGCTTTAGTAGCGGAGGAGTGAAAAAACGGGTCAGGTTTGGGTCGGATCGGGTCGGGTCGGGTCGGGTCGGGTCGGGTCGGGTCGGGTCGGGTCGTAACCGTTCCAAACCTCCCTCGTTTTCGCTATACCGCCATTCGTTTACATTTCGCTAAGTTATACTGTCTTAATGCAAGGAACATGCTAATACTCTGGAAAACAAAGTGTCTAGATGCTGCAGGACAAGTGACGCAAAAGGAACGTTTTGCTCTTTTTTGACAACGGTCAAAAATTGTGTGATAATGTCCATAATTCAGGATAACACAATTTTCATTTGTTGGTCAATTTGACATGAGGCAAATAATAATTTTAGTGCACTTTATTAAAATGCGCTGCATTTGTGATCATAAAAGTCTTAAGTTTAAAAACCAAAATCTCTCCTTGAGACTGGCTCTGCTAAATTTATTTATGTTGAAGCGTAACGCACGATGGATAAGCTTATAAGTAATGAAGCTCATAAAAACGGTAAACTAAGATTAAATTTAACCATTTTTTTCTGTAAGAAGAGGCTAAAGAAGTAAGAAACAAATTTGACAAAGTTCCGTAAAGTCACATAAAGCCAGGCTATTTAATAACTCCTCTATTCCTGTGACACGAAATACATCAAGTCATTCTTACTGGGCAGTTTTGACATCATTACGTTGGGTTTCATATCACGAACCTAATCAAAAGCCAAAGAGATGGAGAAATCGCTTGACATTAAAGCTCTATCATTTGCTAATCACTTTTGGGGGAAAAATACCGTCAAAACTGTCGTGACATTCTGTCAAAATCTTTAAGAGTGGCAACGGTACATTGTGCTTTACTGTAAAATGTATAATCGTAAATTTTAGGAATAGAAAGTTCCAAAAAGAAAGCGAAACGTAAAAAACGAGAGGTACAGACAGGAGGTGGAACTTTAGGCTCAAGGTTAGTGAATTAAAATGAGCGGTAAGAAATGATAAATAAACATAAACTTACTCTCGTACCGTTGGCACTCGGTTTGTAGTGTATGACTTGTGTTAAATGTCAGGAAAACTAAGCAACAGGAGTAAAAAGAAATACCATAATTTTTCTGTAAATCAGCGCAACAGACGCTTATAAATATAACTGCTCTAGGAATAACTCCGGCCCAGAAGTAACTAAAGGTTAATTTAAAGATGAAATGTTTAAGTTTATGTAATAGGGTTTAGTTGGAATTGCGTCAACATTATCTGTTTGTGTCCCTTGTTTTCACAACACAAGGCTGTCCTTTGGCGTTTTGGTCACCTCAAATGCTTTGACACGAGAGCTCTGGGACAATCAGCGTACCTAGGGAAATGAACTTTCTTTTTATAACAAACATCCCGCTAACCACCGGAATTTGTATGCACATAGCTTAGTTGGAAAAAATATTCCTATTTAATACAATGACTTGCAGCTGTTTTTTAAGACATCAGTTTTGGCAAGTTACATCATCAACTCAGTTAATAAAATCAGATTATCTTGTTATACATCCCACTGACGAAGCACCAAAGTTTCTAATCTTTAGTATTAGTTTTGAAGGACTGTTGCTAAAAATGATGCTATAAATTGCCAGATCATTTGAAACGAAGAAGAAACGCGAAACAACTTTGTAGAAACATGGGCCGTGAAGGGTGCAGCCTTCTGAATGATATTGTTTCTATGTGATTTGGTAATAATTCGCACCGTGTACAAGGCCGTCATTTGTTCTCTTATAAACTAAGAAAATTTAATCCTTTTCTCTTTGCCGCCTTTTCTTTTTCTAGAATCAGACAGATGATAAGAGGAGATGAATACTAATCCTGATTGGTGGATGGATTAGATATTTTACTGGTAATACCACAGCCAGAAAACGTCGAATGATGTGGTGCGTTGTTGCCATCGACAACGTGAATTTAGAACACTAATGAACAATTCGTGCAGTTCTATAAAATTTTGATAAAAAGTGTGCATGTTCATGTACTTTAAATATTGTACGTGCGCATTCTAAGTGGATCAATAACAGTTATTTTGACTGGTAGGACCAGTTTGATTGTGAATTCCGATGGGTAGGGTCAGTTAAGGGAGTTGTGTACTTCTTGATATGGGAAATCATTACACCGAAGAGGGAAGGTCCTGCGACCAATGAAATAGAAATACTGAAGATATTATACAAGAGAAAATATGGGTTATATCCTGAGGTAGTACTTGTAATTTAGTATTCAAAAAAGGTTCATAAATACTTAATTTTGAGTTTAATAGATATAGCTTTATTTCGTCCTAGTTAAAGAAAGAAGCTGATTGTGTTAGCATGCATTATGGAAGAAACCTTTAGTGCTTTAGCTGAAATTGTAATTTTCGAAACGCTTCACATTGTTCATTGCAAATCGCCGTTTAAGTTGCTTTCTGTCTGGAGGTTTGTTAATGAAAATCGAGCAATATGATTGCAAGGATGGAAAAGTAGACATTTGTGTAAGATTGCACTAAATACTTTCTTCGTGCCATTTGGATTCGTGTTTGCGTCATCAAACACACTTTGCTTTTAGATTGATGGAAACCTGTTAAGAATAGTCTTTTATGGCGGAGAAATACTTTAGAGTTGCAAGAAAGTAAGATTAACTTACCTCTAGAACGAATGAAAAAAAAAAGCTTGAAAAAGTCTGAGATAATTTTTTTTCCAAGATACACATTGCAGTAGCTGTTTTTTTCAAGTGTTAGCCAAATTAGGTTGTATTTATTTATTTTTTTTTTAGTTAGAAAAGAGCATGTTATTATTATTATTTTTTGTTTGTTTGTTTGTTTGTTTTTTTTTTGTTCATATTAGAGATGAATTCCGTTTGGAGTAGTTTTAAATAATAAGGTGTTAACACAGTGTAGTCTACAAGTGGCCAGGTCAGCTCAAGGGGGAGGGGAGGGGCAGGAGGGAAAGTGCAGAAGGACTAACGACCGAGACGTTTAGTTGCCAGAAACAGGCGTGTGATTTAACGGTGGAAAAAGGCATGGTAGGTTTGTTCTCTCATTAGTTAGGACTTGCGTCTTAACCTTTCCATCCAAACATTGGGTGATAATATGTGGAGAAACTAGACGATAGTCACTGATAGGTTAAAAGGGGTTATAGTGAAGGCGGTTGTTTGTCAGTTGAAACGAGGAGCGAAACGTATGCGGTTGGGTAAACTTCCTGTCGGTTTGCTTTTATGTCGTGTGCGATGTTAAAACTCTGATGATCATGTGACCTCGCTATCAGAATACAGAGGATAACTCAGTGTAGATGGCCACTTGGAAACTACTCAGTCCACATGCGCTTTATTGCGGGCCTATAGTAGCTTTACACGTTTATATACATAGTCAAGTTACATGTACCTAGCTTACAGAGGATGAACATTGTATGCATAGATTAATTTTGGTTGCGAGATAAGGATATTCTTTCGTTATAATTGGCGTTTAATTTCTGTCAATAAACAGCGCAGATTTCTTAAAATTATGTTTCAATGTTTTATGTTCCCCAGTGCATGCCAATCTTGCTCTTAAAGCGTCCGCATAACTCTTGTCTAGCGCAATGAACGCGCAAGGCTCTGGAATTATCCGAACGAGCCCCCGAAGTTTTTGGATTGCGGTTTGAAATTGCACCAGAGTGAATTTTCTTATTGCTGCGTGAGAAGGGCGACCGACGAAAGAGAATTTACATACACAGAGAATTCACTCATTGACGCAAAAGGAATCAAACAAGGAGTTCATCGAGGAACACTTAGGAAAATGAACGGAATTTTCCCTAGGAGATCTCATGTTGAGAGCACCTGAAACATGCAGAGGCAGGGAAGATAAAGAAAAGGAACGCACGGGCAACACTTTAAAACGCAACGAAGAACGCATTAGGAACGCAAGGGAAATTCACAAGGGAACACTTGGGAAGGAAAAGAGGACGAATGAGAAATTGTACGGGGACCAAAAACTTGAGCACGTGCTACGCAGAATGGGTTTTGCCGAGGAACGTAAGAAGGACCTCACAAAAACAATTCGAACGCTTTCTCTAAATTTTATTACATATATAGAAAACTCTTTGTCTTTGTCGAATCGAGCGGGTACCTGGATTTGTCTGAACACGTCCCTTAACCCCTACTCGACAGATGAAAACAAACTCGAGAAGTAAATGTCGACAAAAGCAATAAAATAATGAGCACGCACAATATCCTTTTTCTACTATTGCTAAGGCTGCCTCTGATTAAGTTCAATATCTATCAAAACCGTCGCATGCGTTTATAATTCGGTTCGGAAATGAGTAGAACCTCTATTCGCCTCCAAGAAGAACAAGTTTGTTCAGTTGTGTTACTGTAAATAAATTTAGTGTTTGTTCCCTACGAAACCTAGCTGTACACTAATTAAAATTTTCCTCAACTTTGGTGAGAAAGGGTTTGATACTGAGTCAAACTCCACACTTGGAGAAGTGGAAAATATAGATGAGAAAAATTAAATTTTCTTTTAATTTAATTTTTAAGTCAATTTTCTCATCCAATGATCTTTCGTTTGTATTTCGCCAACCCTCCTCCCTAAAGGTCTTCTAATCGCAATTGAACAATAAATGTCATGCGCACTAAATAGCACGGGAATACAATAACACATTCTACTTTGAAGTACGCCACACAACAGCTACAAATATTACGAGTTAGATATAGACTTCTCAGCCTTTGAATATAGGAATTAGTGGCCTCACCACTTTATCGATTATCTATTACGGGAAATAAGCGAACTTGACCAGAAAAGGCTTGAAAAATAAATACTCGTAGATTTTTGGCTGAGTGGCGATCAGCCAAAAGTGATCTTGCAGTCTAAAGAAATTTTACGGTTCTTGAAGATTATCAATTATTTTTCAAATTGAATATAAAGCCACGCTAAATTCAAATGTTCTCTCGATATATGCGTTCGTTTAATTTTAAGCTGGTGTGGCAAAATGTAAGATATGATTGTGTTTAGAATGCAAATTGAACTGAATTCATGGAAGTTAAGCGGAATGGTGTTCACACGAGGTACATGATGTTGACACGACAATTAAGGACACTTTAGAGCACAACAATCGATCTCTACGTGCATGTATAGGCAGCTGTCAATGTTTTGTGTCTAAAAGACAACTGAGGCTGTTTGAGACAATTTAGAGCCAGGTATTGTATATTATTAAAATCAGAATACACCGATGAGAAAGTGTGGGCATATGTGTCGTCTGACTCGGAGCTTTTGTGTGAACCCCACCATGAAAGGTTTAAAAATTGATGTTTAACGACTAACGGTTAACCTCATCGAAACTCTCTAGATTGCTAAATGCTTATGTAGTATTACAACACTACAAACAATTCTTCGTCCATGTCAATCACACAGCTGGGTTGGAGGAGTACAGCCACTGCAGAAGCAAAGAAGACAAAACTGTTATTGTGGATCTAATACTCTCTTGAAACCATAACACACAAACAAGGGTTTTCATAATTGATAAAGAATGCGAATACAAATAGATCAGAATTTATCAAAAAAAAAGTTCCATTTGTGTTAATACTTAATACCGAACGAAACAAAGCGGTCAAACGTTTTCACATGCAAAATGCGCAAACGTTGTAATGACGTGCTTTCAGTCTGTAAGAACCAAGTCGGCGCGCGGCCGACCAAAGTTGATCCCCTTGCGCATGCCCTACGTTTGACCGCTGTGTTACCAAGCGGGCTCATGTTGATGGACAAAAGCATGCAAAAAAACTGGAGCAAACAAAACAAATTATAATGATAGTAGTGAATGTTAAGCAAAGGTATCGACGACAGGAGCGAACTAAATTTTTCCTATGGATGTGGCTCTCGTAGAAAAATTGACAATCGCTTTTCCCAGACTAATTTTAAATTAAGAATTCTTAATTTGTGACGATGCCTTCCATTTAAAACAGTTCTATTATGACGTGATTAAACTCTGTGAAAATATAGCGGGAAAGTAAACAAACGCTTAAGTCACACTGCAATTCACAATCATGGCCTCTTTTGAATAACCCAAAAAAAAAAATGAACAATGCACATTCATGATTTTCCTGATACAACACTGCTTGTAATATTCAGCTTCCTCTGCGAGGCAGACTTGTGTCGAGTCGCGCGGACGTGCAGAGGTTGGAGAGCTATTGCTTACGACAGCTCTTTGTGGAGATGTGTAAATCTTAAACGTTTCCACAAGCTTAACGAATTCAGCCTCATCAAGCTCATTCAAAGTCGAATGGTACCGATGCTCTTCAAGATCAACCTTGGAGGTTTCACTCTGTCTCCGAGAGTTTTCCAAGTTCTGGCCATGCACTGCAAACAACTAAGAGTGCTATGTTTAGGATCTGTGTCCTTTGAAGAAGATTTCACGGTCAGCGACGAGTCCTTTCCAGGGAATTTAACAAAGCTAGATATTCGGCACAGCTCGGGACATCCAACTGCATTCAAAGTTATCACCCAGAACGTGCAGCAAGTGCAGTGCCTAGGCCTCAGCGATTCTATTTTTGGAGTTATCGATACTGAAGGCGAGAAACTAAGATTCTTCGCTTCTTTGAAGGAAGTTAGAATATTAGAGTTTAGTTACTGTAATTCACTGACAGATACAATAGTCCAGTTTATCGCGGAAAATTGTCCGAATCTTCGATCACTGTGTCTCCGGAGATGCCACAATATTCGAGGAGAAAGTCTGTCGAAGTTAATCGATTGCTGCTCGTCGCTGACATCGTTAGTACTCGACGGTACGAGCGTCTCCGACAATGAAGTTCAGGCGGTTTCCTGGGAGAATTCGATGATAACCGAAGTAGATCTGTCGTGGTGTCGGCATCTGAGCAAAGTTGGTCTTAAATCGATACTGACTCGTTGCCGCCTCCTGCGATTCGTGCGGTTGTGCTGCTGTGGTTATGGCCACGCAATCACCGATGAGGTACTTCACGCAATGACTGAGTGTCGCTACCGTTCACTTCAAGTCTTAGATTTGAGCTACAGCAGCGAAGTCACAAACTGTGCCCTTGGAAGGTTTGTAGCTAGCTGTTCTTCGTTGCAATATTTGAGGGTATACCACTGTCAGAAGATTACATCCACACTGGTAAACCTCATTCCCAGCGCGTCAAACGTTTTTGTGGTTGCGAACTTTCAGTTGCAAAGAGGAGGTCTCGCAACAAGCGCTACCTCGGAGGGGCCCTCGACACTTTTGTCAGCGACGCCAGTAAACTACTCGCGAAGAGAAAGCCTAGACATGAGTCTGCGGCAGGACTGAATGGTTCTCTCAGAGATAATAACCATGGTTGCCTTGTTCTAGTGTGAAGCCCGTTCAGATTTAACAGCTGTGTTGAAGAAGAGGGAGGTGTGGAAGAGACTGATGGCATCTCTTATATCACTGAGCGCTTTACCAGGTAAAGCGCAGTGGGCCAGATTAACATAAAATATCTTGTAATTATTGGACTTAAATTCTTAACTAGAACACTTCCGAAGAAAGTGTTCAGTTTTCATGCGTTTGCTCCGGCAATATTTCTAGTTTTTTAATTGAGCATCTTCCAGCGGAAAGAACAACGAAAACCCAGTTAGAAATTATTTGAAAAGATCATCTTCACTGGATTGAAAAAAGCATTTCGGTGACCAAAAACGTATTTCAGTAAATGTTTTGAAACTATGACTTCCAGACGGTCTTGCTGTGTGATCTTATGGGTGAGGGAAGTCCTGAAAAGGAATGTGCTGTTAACAACGACAGAGTCGGACAACCTACAAGCAGGTTCTCATTAGAGCCCAGAATTTGGAAGCATTTTGTGTTTTTTTTTTAGTTTTTTGTTTGTTTGTTTGTTTGTTTGTTTACTCTGTTACCCGAGCTTCTGAAGTTAATGTAACGATGATATCGAACATAGCAGAGAAAAATATGTGTACCTGAGATGTGTACTAAGAGGAAGATTAAATTGCTTTTGTTGATAGTCTTCCATACATTGTATTTATCACGAACTCCAAAAAAAAACCCTCAGATTCACCCTTTATATGTACTCTTTAAGATCAGTTTTTTCCTTAGCCCAAAATTTTATGGGACCCTGTCTAAAGTTGATCATTTATTTTATAAGTTTTCTCAATTTGGTAAACAACACTCGTGTTAAACAAGATTTACAATGGAAAAAAAAAACGTCAACGCAACTTACATTTCCTCCGGGTTGTGGCCTGTGTGAAGCGACTCGACGATAACCAACGGAAACTGCAGCCACACCAGCCATAACCTTAACCTGAAATCAAACGTACAGTGAAAAAAATATGAAGTTCTTGCTTTGCCAAAAACATCCAATGATGATTTCTTTTTTACATTTTCTTTTTTTAATCTTACGACTGAGTGATAGAGCATCCGGTGTACCAGTCGGAAGGTCGTAGGTTTGACTCCTATTGGGAACACTCGAGTATGCCTGTGTCATTCACTGAATGACATCTTCCACTTCAAGCTATATGATATTTTAGCCAGCACAACTGCTGGAATTACGCGGGCTTGTATTCTTGTATATTGGAGAAGACGATACCACGGAAAAGTGAAGCTGCAAGGGCCAAGAGGAGAATGGAGGTGGACAACAGAAACGGCGTCAGCTTCGCTGAGTTCTCCTTGTCATTTGTATCCAAACAGAAACATTACACTTTTATTCAGTTGGTTGAAAACGGTTTATCAATTTCTTTCTTTTATATTGACATTACGATAGCAAACAAACTGAAAAATAGACACGTAGGCTCAGACAAACAAACAAGGAGATAAGTTTCTAAAGAAACTGTGGTGCTGCATCAGTGGAGAGTATAACAAGATAATTTGGTTTTATCACCTCAGTTGATAATGTAAACTGGCCACCGCAAAGAGTTTAAAAGCTGACATTTCAAGCGTCGGAGTAATTATTTACCTTAGCAGCCGTCCAACAACCTGGAGTAGAGGAACCCTTTGGCACATATGTTTGGTTTTCTATGTCATCGTCGTCAGTATCTTTAATGATTGCTCCCTATCACCAAACAAACAGATCATTGAGTTACGGGGGGTAAGTTTCTAAAGAAACTGTGGTGCTGCGTCGGTGGGGGTAGTACGAGATCATTTGGTTTTTATCAACTGAGTTGATAATGGAAATTGGCCACTGAAAAGAGTTTCTTGAGCTGACGTTTTGAGCGTTAGCCCTTCGTAAGTCCCCTTATAATTAGATCATTGAGCTGATCGATACTTTGATTGCTATGGCAGCTGACCTTATTGCCTTCTACAGCAAAAACGCCACTCGATGAAGTTTGCATGATGATAGACATTCTTTCAGACTGCGTCACGAGCCAAAGAACTGCGTCAACAGTAAACTATTAGGACATATCTTTTTAAACATAACAGTAAAAGGGCTGTTGGTAAAAAACGTCATGGTTTTTATTTATTTTATTTTTTTTTTTGAGATAAAAGTGCACTGGTTGACATACTACACAGCATCCTTTTATCTGCGAAACGGAAGGTTTCTTTCCAGTAAGAAATAAACTCTGCAAGTGGTCACTCGCTTCTCTGACAAGCCTTAGTGCCTTGTCTATTGACAGCTGAAGTTATCAGCGGTTTATTAACAAACTCACGGCTGGTATGATTCACCCACAGCCAAGCTTCAAGCTCACTGACAATGAGCAGAGTTCCGATAACGATTGCATGATAAGTATGGACAACGAGGTGTTATGGCTTGCGCAAGGCTAAACGAGAGGAAACGGAAAAGTACCCGAGTTGTTTAAAGAAACAAAGATGTGTCCAAAAGAGTAAATTGGAAAACTAAGATTTCAATACAAAACAATGAAAGCAGAGTTATCGAAGCGGAAATGTTTGGTATTGTATCAAAATAAAAATTCTCCAATCTTCAAAAAAATAAACGAAAGAGGTATTAAATATGCAAGAAATATTTATGGTACCTTTGCTTGTGCTAGTTTTGATCCAGCTTCTGTAGAGCCTTTGTCGCCCCAGTCCACCTGTATAAAGTTATAATTTTCCTCTTCAGTGCTGGTTTTTCAGATCCAGTACACCTCATTACACCTGCTACTCAATGGCAAATATGAATAGGCGACGTCCACGAAGTCTGCGGTCTCATTTTTCAGTTCTGACTCTAACGGAGCCCGAACAATAATTTGATTCGTGTCTCACAAACTTACTAATATATACGAAGCTTCTTTATTTTTTCCGGCTGTTAGCAAATGACTGACAAAAAATGATTCACCCTGACGGGAGCCTAACACTCACCCTGACAGGAACGATTCCTCCCGCAGTTCCTCCGCCGTATAATGACGCGTTAACTGTCGGCCATTTTGTCCTGCCACCCGGCTGATGAGGAAAACAGGCGTAAATTAAGTGGAGTGGAGTGGAGTGTTTTAAAATTAACGTGGGGCGTGAATTTCAAGTGAGCGCATAGCATTCGTAAAATCTTCGAAGATGCAAGAAGCATTCGCCTGCATATGTCTTGTTCTTTACTAGTGCAATGCTCGTATCAAATTCTTATTATCCTCTTCCTTATAACCAATAAGATACACCCATTCGTGTTTTAAATTCTTCCAAAGTGTGTATGGCGCATCCGCCTTTACTGACCGTTTTCTCCATTGGTGGTGGGGGTCTCACTGGTGGCGGGGGCCTGGGAGGAGGTTTCTTCGGTTCTAATACGCCAGCTGGTTGATAATCTCGAGGTTGCTGAACACAACAAGGCAAAGATAAATTACATCAAGCGCATAAAACAGACGCACGATCTTCCCCTTAATGTTTACAAATATCAACCAAAAGCGAAGCTGACCGCCATTTGAGTGCAACGTGTGAAGCAATGTAATGGACGCTGATGCGAGGCATCAACAGTGGTAAATCCAAGGGTAAGGCATGGGAGTCCAGATTCCCCCATCATACTGGTAAATATTTTTCTTGTCTAAAACGCACATATTTCTAACCACAGTCCTGCATATTCTTCCTCAACTTGGAGTATTTAGAACTTGCTTATATCAAAATATTTCTTAGCTCATTAAGGCTCTGGTGTTAGAAAAAAAACAAACAAATAATAATAATCATCATGATCATAGTAATAATAATAATAATAATAATAATAATAATAATAATAATAATAATAATCGGTGTATTTTAAATCAAATTTTAGATCCCCCCACCCCCCACCCCAACAAACCCTCATCAAAAATCCTTGGATCCGCCCCTGGTCGATGCCATCCGTCAAAATTAACCAATTCCGAGGCAAACCAACAGCCCGTATACTAGAAAGTTCACATGGGGTTCTTCCACAATTTTCTTTCCCAATCCCCGACCGTTTTTTAGTCACCCGTGGTTTTCAATTGTCTCTATTGACCGACAGGCTCTGGGTCCGAAGCTATCGGAACTAACCACCATACCACTGCGTCCCGCACAATCACGCTATTAATAATGGTAATTGAACTGAGTGGAATACACTTTGGTCTAAATTAATACGCGTGATTTCAAAATCTAACGAGCGCGTAGCGCGAGTTTGATTTGAAATCACAAGGATGATTTCAGACCAAAATTACATGACACCAACTTCGATTACCAATTAATTACATCTATTTTGAAATCGCAAAATTCAGTCGCTGAAATATAGGATTGTTTAGTCTGTAAAACAATTTTATTGATCTAGTGCTGAGCTGGTTTGTAAAAAGTTACAAAAGTTGTCTTTCATTTCCCTGTAATTTGATTGGTTACTTTAAACAAGCCTTCAAATCTGAGTGGTTGTTGTGTTTTGATAAAGATTTTTATTGGCTAAGAAAAAGATGTGATTTAGTGCAAAAAAAATAGTGCGATTCGTGAATAAATCGCAGCAACGAGAGCCAATTAGATTGCAAGGATCACCAGTGATTTCAAAATGGATCTAATAACGCAATTATTTAACCAGGAAAACCTTTCACCTTTCTCCTGATGCGAGGCCAACACCACCACACAGCCAGTAAAATGAGCAAAGCAAACAGAAACAACAGCACCAACGCTAAAGCAACGTTACTTCTCTTTCCAGTCTGTTAAAATAACGAGACAAGTGATTTGACAGAAGAGGTATACTATGTGAAAGACTCGTTTAGTGACTTACTCAGTTGTAAAAAAGATGAAACCATGTTATAAAAAAACTACGGAAAGCAACGGCCAATCAAAACAAGGGAGAATATCATTATCCCGCATTAACTCCCAGGACTGACCAAGGCAGAATTTCTCCTTCTAATATCCAGGTTTCTTTCCCTTTTTCAGAAACAAATCTCAGGGACTTTTCTAGGACT